AAGGCACTTGAAAGTATACGGAATTCCTACAGTGCTTAACACATTAAATTCATGATGTAACTTTATATGATGTTATGGCACAAGACTATATAGATTTATGATTTAGAAACATTTACAGACAATGAAAGTTAGCAACATTTCCCTTATAAAACTGAGCCTTTCCATGCCTGGTGTCAGACCACTTAGGACACAATAAGAAGTGACATTAATTGGGATGATTTGGGCAAGTGGGATAACTGTAGTCACTTGTAGAGGCAAGAGGGCTTCTCCCATTTGTAAATGTGCTGCCTACTATATTCAGCCCATGTTATAGAATTAAAATGCAGATTAAAGAATGTGATCAAAATAGTCAGAAATGTACTACATAGTGGATGGACTTATGACACTATACATCTTAGCAAAGTCCTAGTATGAAATCAAATTTCTTTAGACTTTTAATCAGCTTTAAATCAGCTGTATTATAACTTCCTCAGCAGTATCAGATATACTGGGCAGCTAGGGGAACTTGCAGAAGTACTGCAAGAACTTCAACATACATGCTGTGAACAACACTAAAGCTTCCTAAGATACTGGTATGACAAAAACTTTGTTCATAAAAAGCTTAAATAAAAATGTCACAGAAATATAAGAAGTCACCCACCTACATTCATTAAAGAGGTTACTGCCTTCTTACAGACACTATCACAGCTGGACACAACCACATTCAGCACAATGATGTGAAAAGGATTACAGAAAGCACCTGTCACAGTAGATATCATTCAGAAGAGTCACTGAGCTAGCCTTCAAGTGAAGAACCAATGCATGTTCAACACAGCTTATAAAGAAAGAAAACACCCAATAGCAACATTAACAGTAATTCAGTATATCCACTCTAAAAGTGTTTTCTATTGCAAACCACATCAAAATAGATTATCTTTCCATTTTTATCCAGTAAAAAGGTACTGTACCTCACAGTAAAATCATAGGAGCAAGAGGCCAATAAGGTTGCATGGAATGGTGAAAACTGCAAGAAAACAAAACAGAACAACTTTTAAAGTAAAACACTGTGAACCTATACAGTCTCAATGTAAGTAGAAAGTTACAAAAGTTTAACTATTTAAACTGCCTTGGTATGTATCACATCATGCTGCAACAAAAAGACTACATCAATAAATTTCCCTGTCATGCTTCTAATGACAAGGAATGCTCTACGGGATCCTGGTTTGGTCTGATTTCATTACAGCAGTGCTAAACAACCCTTCTGTAAAGTTGGGAAGTTTTAGGACAGTCATATAACCTGTTGTTAAATTCTGCTTTTGGCTGACAAGCCGAGTATCACCTCATTATATAAAGTGTGTTTCAGAAAAGCTATGTGAGCAGTTGATTATTTTCAGAGAGAGAAAATCTGTGCTATAGTACAGAAAATATAAGTTGTGTTACTGTCATCAATTCCATGTCCTAAAATTTTGAAATTATTTACAGAAACGAGAAAATTTGAGAAATGTTGAAAAACTGAAGGCAATATAACATCGCTTCACCATTTCCTCCTCTCCTGCAGGGCATTTTATAGGACATACTCTTCTATGGAGCCTTGTGGACAGGTCTAAGAACTGCAGCAATAAGGATGCAGTTAGGCAAAAATTGTTCACCTTGGATCCAGCTTTTTGGCAACCTTCAGTTTCCACCTATTTTAAGGTCTGTATTTCTCAACAGGAAATAATAACATAACTTTAGTTTGACATGTACGACCCCCACATTATGGTTCACATTTAAGATTTTTCCTGCAAGACTTTCTCTATTACTCAAAGCTACCATAAAGTCAAAAGTTAAGCCTGGGCTTACTGCCACAACTGTCAAAATTGCCAAGAGAGCTGCGTCTGTTGCTGCCTGCTGATGTCCTCTTTACTGTAGCAGAACTGAGGGATATGTATGCTTGAACTTTAACCTCCCCAGATTTCCTAAAAAATTTCAGGAGGAAAAAAACCAAACACACCAAATCAGGAGGAAAAAAACCAAACACACCAAAACACTCAAACTCAAACACCACTGCTAAATGTTCTTCTGCTCAGAATGGTCATGCAGGAATTAAAGTACAGAAAAAGACTGGACAGCTACTACCAGTGCGGATAGCAGGCAAGGGTAGCCAGGATAAAGAGAAGCAGGAGCTTCTCAGGCTGTCTGGCCACAAACAGAATTTGTGATATGCAAACACACCCTAGAGTCACACCTTTTTCTGACAAATTACAACCTAAGCACTGTAACTTTTACAGTTGTTAGAAAAACATAAAAAAATTCCAAGGGCATGTGAAGCAAAATACCAACCCAGGATAATTCTTTTCTGCCAGTTCAGTCTTCCTAGAAAATATTATTAAACATACCTGTTCCTGAAAGCCTTTAAAAGGATTACATATTAACTGACTACTATAAAAAAATAATAAGCACTGATTAATATGAAAAAAAAAAAGTAATCATGCAGCTAGAACAAATCCCTATCGGTGCTTGATCTAGTAATAGTCAGACCCAGAACAGCCATCTGTAGCCTTTCATGCACAAAGTTTCAAAAACTCTTTGAGCATCTTAACATTTCACTTGTGCTCACAAAAATACATATTCATGAGTCCTATACCTTTCCTTATGTGAATATTTTATGGAGAGAAAAAGGTACTGCATCACTGAAAAAACAAATAAGGAAAGTTATTTTCCCTCTCCCAAATTCCCTTATAACTTAGCTCTCAAGCTCTTGAACACTCCTCATGGATAATATATTGACTTTGAAGATGTTATTTACTTCAAAATCCTAGCAATCTGCTAAACATCAAAATGTTTTACAGTGCTAAACTGAAGGTTTCCAAGAACGGTCACCATAGCATCTAAAATCTTCAAGACCTGTTGGGTTTTTTCCCTAGTTATTAGATAATATAAACTATTACTGCTTTCCAGAAAAAGATGTGTAACAGTTCAGCTTACTTTTACTCTTCTGATAGCATAGGTATGACCAAGCAGGATGAACAGTGGTTGCCGGATGTTCCGCAGATCCCAGCCTTTCAAGCTACAGTCAACTGCACCAGTTACCAGCAGGTTCTAATGAGTTGATAAAACATAGATATATCAGGAAATTTTAATTATTAAATTGCAGTGATGCATATGTTGGCTATAAAAGTTAGATAAATCAAACAATAGAGATGAATAACCCACAAATGAAGTCTCCAGCATGTAAACTAAAAGGGAACAGAGAAATACAAACTGTTTCTCCACTACAGACTATTCTGTCCACTGTACAAAATAATAAGCAAAACCTTTGATCCACTTGGGTCATCTGTCTGTTGGAACAATGCTCTTCTGAAGATGTGGTGGTGAATGAGAGCAATAAAGCAAGTAGACATTTTTATAAAGAGAAGATGCATTAATGTTGCAGTAAAAAACCCTGCTATTTAATGAGAGTGGTTCGATTAGGAAAACAATTGGATGAACAGGTTTATACCTCATCATATTTGCACCAGTCACAGCTCAAAATCTCAGCCTGGTGGGCTGGTATCACAAGTTTGACTCGTGGGGCTTTCACATCCCAAACTCTTACAGTCTGGTCACCTGAAACAAAAAGAAATTAATTCAACACTGTTGAATCAGTAACAGGATACAGTTAATTCACTAGTACTTAGTAGACAACTGCTTCTTGGCTGTATGAAATACAAACTATTATATGAAGACACGCCAAATAAAGCAAGTGCATTATAGCCACAGAGGTCAGATTGATGCACAAAAGGAATCAGAACTTGCTATTGCTCTTTCATTAGGAAAAAACCCAAACAAACAAAACAAAACCAAACACTTCATTTTGTTATTAACGCTTTCATTATTTTTTAAAGTCTGATTTGATTAAAAGGATATGAGGTAAAACACTTAAATGACTTTTAATTAAAGTAGGAGCTTAAGATCCATTTAAAAAATGACTTGCAAAACCAGAATCATGAAAAAATTTTCTCTGCAAGCCAGCTGAGAAAAAGTACCTAGTCACATGTTTTTGGCACACAGAAAAGTGAGTAGTATCTAAAATGCAACTTAGCTGCAGATTCTTTCAATGAAAGGAAAATTTAAGACACATTACCTGTACTCCTCATGTGCAAAACCTGCACAGTTACTCTCATTTTTTGAAATACTGGAAGATAAAGTAATTCTTGCTGTACCTGTTACACATATTAAAGGCAATGTCTGCTTTAACCTTAGATCACATACACACACCTGCACATGTGCACGCAAACACACAAAGCTTTTCAGATAGCTATGAAGGGTGTCCAGCTTAAGAGCTGCAAGTCACCTGAGCCTCTGTTTACCTCCAGCCAGAAATTGTCTTCCACTCCTAAAGATCTCTAGCATTTGTGTATGCTCTTCTTACAAATACAGTTCACAATGGCCTACAAAGACCTGGAAAACTGCATCAGCTGACAAGACAACTATGCTTTTCACTTTTTTTAATAGGGGTTCTCTCATTAACCCTGAATATTTAGCTCTGTGTCAGCAAAAACTGATTCTGCAGCTCATTTGTTTACAGAGAGATAAAATTAATTAAGTTCATGATTATGCCTGTGTTCAGTCAAGAGACAAAAAAAAGATCACTAGAAACTATATCCAAACATGCATGAAATTACTAATATTTCTTTACCAGAAACACTTCTGGAAATCCCCAAATTGGTTATCATCAATAATTAGAAATTTTATGCTGTTTAGATGCAAGCATTTTGATGGTTTTAGTGCCCAGTTGGTCATTGATCTTAAAATATACAACTGGGCACTCAAAATCATACCTCTTTTCAAGAAACTGGCTACAGTTCAAACACAACCATCCCCAGAATCACAACAACAATATTCTTATTCCTACAGACCCTGTAGACTTTGCAGAAAGACCTAAAATGTTTTGCAAGTTTGAATACAAAAATTAAGCTAGAGAGCATTTGGTTCCACTATATGACACAAAACTGGCCTTATGACTGTGGTACTACACAGATCACAGGAAACTGCTCTGATGGTTAGTTGGCTTTTCCTCAGACTCCACAATGCAAGAGAAACTGTATACTTGGTGGGTAAATTCCCTATCTGTGAGGTGGGAACACCAGATGATTTCTTATGGTTTTTACTCCCCTCCCCTATTTTAATACTGTAAACAGCAAGACTGCTGCTCAGAATAGTATGTACAGCACTCCTGACAATAACACCCTGCAGTCAGCTGAAGCCCCATACATCACTACGGTGCTTATAAAAACAGGGAGACATATGGAGAGGAAGAAACATGACCAGCAGGGTCTTGGCAAAAGAAAAGAAAAGCTAGCACACCCATCCACCCACCATTAGCGCAGCTAATCTGCTTGCCTGCCAAGGACAGATTTCGGTTTGAGCCTTAAATCTATCTGAAATATTATAATGGACTTCTTAAAAAGCTTTTATTTTAATTTCATCAGATAACATAGATTTGAAGGGGAAACGCGTATTTCACTACAGACAAGATAATTTTTTCCCAAGCAATGAATGTACAAATCCAGGTGAACTGGAATTAACTGCTACAGAGATGGACCACATTAGCATTTTGAGAGCCAAAAACATTTGGAAAAGTAAGTTACTCTGCCAGTAACAATTTTGACACTAAATATACAATTGCCCCCATTATTTCTTTTCTAATAGAAAATGCTGATGCACAAGAAAAAGAGTTATTTTCCCTTTCTTTTTTTCTTTGAAAACACTAGACTTAGCTGTTATTAATTCTGACTGGCACTATTTGTGAAATGTTTTTAATGGAGTAACATAACATGAAAGCAAACCTTTCTGTGAATAGAACAGACTAAATTAAAGCCACAGGCAAATCCAATTTTTCTACTCCAGTGGAAAAACCACATTAATAGCAAAAAAAAAAAAAAAAATAAAATTGATAAACAGTGTAATCTGGACATATTACATATTTTGACAACCTTTCTTTTTTTTACCTCAAACATCTTCCCATGACCTCATAATATATCCATTTTTTCACATTTCACTTCAATGAAAAATGCTGTGGAATTTCCACATTTCCATGATTCCTTCAAATCTCTGTTACAAAGGATGCATTTCTTCCATATGGTAAAGCAAAAGTAAGACAACAATAGAAAGTACAAGTAAAGCACACCTAGTACAATCATATTCACTAACAGCCATTTCTTGTTGGCATCCCAAAGTAAGCATCCACAAAAGTGGCCAACATTTCCTCCACAAAATATTTCTATTTTTGTAGGAAGCAATTTCTCTATGGCAACAGATTTTTGCTGGTCTGTTAGATAATTATGATTCCAGATTTGTTTGTATATTGTACTTGCTTTCTTTCATTTTAATGAATATTTGTGAAATCTTGGACGAACCAATAGAACTACACAATATATACTCATCTATTCAAAATTTTGAAAGAGATGCTAATCTACAAGTACATCACCCCCGTACATAGGATAAAGACTGCTAATGTGAATGACAATGTATGATAGTGAAAAGATATAGTTTATTTAGGATTTAAATTTCATGTAGGTTTTATACTGGCTTTTTACACACAGATGTATTTTACCCAAATCCATAAATCATAATCTCCTAAATTCTATAACAACAACCACCTAAATCATCATTGCCAGACAGTGCAGAGGTACAACATTAACTATAAAAAATAGCTAGATATCTGGAAGATTTTAATAAAAGTCCAAGAAATCTTAAGAGACCATCTGAAGGCAAAGAGGATTCTAACCAGGACAGATAAAATGTTTTTCAAGAAACAAAGTAATGGTAGTTTAACGTTTTATTAAAAAAAAAAAAAAAAGAACAACAAAATATAAAAAATCAATCTTATTTTGGGATGTATCTTCAATTTACTGTAGGAAAAGAATTCAGCATAAAAGACAAGTATGGCATATATGCTGTTACATCACAGAATCACAGAATGGTTTGGGTTGGAAGGGACCTTAAAGATCATCTAGTTCCAACCCCTCTGCCATGGGCAGGGACACCTTCCACTAGGCCAGGTTGCTCGAAGACCCATCCAACCTGGCCTTGAATGCACATCTTCTCTGGGCAACTTGTTCCAGTGCCTCAGGACCCTCATAGTGAAGAACTTCTTCCTAATGTCTAATCTAAATATTCCCTCTTTCAGTTTTAAGCCATTACCCCTTGTCTGATCACTACATGGTCCTTTAGAAAGTCAAAGAAATCTTGATTTAATTACTTCTGCAGTACCACTGAATGATTACAAGTTAACATTACTTGCTTACTTGTGTGTATTTTTTAAATACTAAACCAGATTAAATGATTCAGACAAATTCAAATAGAAGATCTGTGGAAGAACAAAAAGCAGAAGCCAAATCTACAACTCTCAAAACCAAGTAACTGTTATTGCTGTCCTGGAGATGGCTGAACATGTGCCTGCCCATGGGAAGCGGTGAATGAATTCCTTGTTTTGCTTTGCTTACGCGCTTTTACTTTATTATGAAACTGACTTTATCTCATGATAAAAATCCACAAGTTTTCTCACTTTTACTCTTCTAAACCTTTTCCCCATGCCAATGTGGGGGGAGTGAGCAAGCAGCTGTGTGAGGCTCAGTTGCCAGCTGGGGTTTAACCACAACAATAGTATAAGCAAACCTAGAACAGGATTAACAAAGCCCATGAGATTTCACACAAAGAAACAGATACAGAGTGATACAAATAGAGTGACACAATAGATTACTGAAAGCATCCAACAGGACTCTACTGAATGCAAAAAATCTATTTCCATGTAGCACAACCTAGTTTCCAAACATAGTTTCCAACTGGTATTTTTTCAGTCTCATACAAAATGCTGTAGAGATAAAAATCAAAAGAGCTTTAAGTTATTTCACAGAAGGGCTCTACTGAACCTTTTTCTGGAGAAAGTAAATTGTTCAAAAAACAAAAAAAAAAAGTTGTGAAATCTTTTATTTTGGTGTTTTCCAAGCTGATTAACCACAAATCTTGGAACAAAGTTTTTATTTCAAAATTGACCTAACTAATGACTTATTATTAATCCATTCTTCAGCAAATGGCAATATTGGCTAGATACCTAACTCTAACCCAAATGACCCAAAACATATTCATTGTAAAAAACTCTTACTCCATTTTTCTTCTCAACACTAAACCATTATTTTACAATATGACATTCCAATATAAAATATTATAACCTGAAAGTGTTTTATATTCTAGCATGTGCTGCATACAATACTTTGCTATGGTTAGCAAGTATTATAAATTCAGGGCCAAACTTATTTCCTGAGAAATATTTCAGCTTGCACTTTAGAAGCTGATTTAGTAAAGCTTACTGAGCACAAGACTCAGATGAATTCAATTCTGTGTTGGTATGTCTTGAAGCAATACACCCACTTTAATACGTAGATTCGACACAAAAAATAAGCAAGTAAATTATGTTTTCACAGCTGCCAGTATGAACAGTAGTTTAGCTAAACTGCAACACAGTAACTCTGTAGTCAGTCTGCTACCTAGATGTTTGATTTGCACAAGGTACCATGCAGTAAATTGAAGCCTCTTATTCTTTTATCCCTCAAGCAACTGGATTCAAAAAATGTCTAACTTTTGCAAAGCCTTGATGGCAATTCAACAAGTAAACAGCCAGGACAGAACTTCCAAGAAGCAAAGAGTGGACCCACACCACATACAAACTAATGGAATATAAGCCTCTAGTAGTGTTTTAGAACTCATGACAAACCATGGCAGAACAGAAAATTATTTCCTTCAGTTTTTTAGGAACCTGAACACAAACGTCTTTGGAATTACTTGTCTGCAAGCCCCACTCCTCAACAGCTTCTTGTTTTGCCCTATGCGACTTCTGAAGCACGAACATAAGCTGAAGCTTGAGAAAGCTGAAGTCAAAGACATGACAACCCCAAATTTGCTCCCGGAATGCCCACATGCTCCAGGAATGCGCACATGGAAAATAATTCTTTACTGAGGAGCTGAACTGAAGACTATTCCTTTCCAACTAATTCAGTAACCATCCTCTTAGTAGATGTACACCCTCCCCAGATCATTACTTCATGCAAACTAATTTGTTCATTTTTAGTTTTCTTTTATAGTTTGGATTCCAAACACAAAAAGGCATGCCAAGACTACATGCCAGCCTGCCTTATGAAACTACAGCTTGACAATCCTGTAACTACACACATTTGTCACTGAGAGACCAGTAGGGAAGAAGACAAACTCTTAAAAGGCAACTCACTATGCCAGGGTTGGCAATAAAACAGAACATGAGAAAAACAGTATTTTAAAATTTTAACCCTAAAGCCTAGCACAGGATGCAAGGGCTTACAAAGAGCGGAGATTAGTGTTACAAGTTCATTTGTAAACCAGCACACCTGTAGTTCCCCAACACTTTCATTAACATAATAAAAATTTCTCAGAAATTTTCACACCTTGTTGTAGTACGAATTCTTGTGTTTGTTTTTTTTTTCCCCCTGGGCTTTCAATCTGAAGAAAAGTAGTCTTTGAGCAGAGAATACAATTAATTCATCTAAATACTGTTGAATATAGACATTATCTTACAGATTTAAGAAATGCTTTTTTCCCTTATTCATGATTTAAGATGTTATAAAAACTACATATCTACCCTGATCAGTAAACTTAAAGAGTGCAGTAATGTTTTTAAAGTGAATGCAGCATTAAAACTGAGGTCCCAGTAGCTAAGATAAAAGCTAGCACTCGGTCTAAATCTGGGCTTTGCTAAACCCAAACCATTTATATTTTCATTTGCTAGTGTCATATCTGTATCAAAGCATACTACAGTTATGCTGATAAGGGTAAAATGGTATTCATTAATTACTTCCCACTGTTAAATTTGAAGGGCAATAAAAACAGTTGCTACTATAAAGGACACTTTCTTTATAAACCACAGGACCAAGCAAGGCCTCTGCAGCTATGGAGAACCATTAAGCAGAACTGACTTACGGTTGACTATATAGTAACTTTGTCTGCATTTGGTGCTTTCTTTATGTGCTTCTCACCAAATTGTTCTCTTGGGTTTAAAAAAAAAAAAAAATACAGAGAGAGAGGGAGACCTCCTGGGCAAATGACACAATGACTCATTAAACCCTTTTAGCCACGAAGATGCTGTTAAACGTTTATGTCACTTCTTTAATGACATTTTCTACATCACTGTTTTTTCAGTGTAAGGCAGACATTTACCAGGGATCTGGCTCAGTGCTGCATGTACACCTGAATATCTTGCTTATCAGCTCAGAAATTGTTGCTGATATCACAACAGCAGTTATTTACATACACAGAATTAACAGTTTGTTCTGTTACTATTAAATCCCAATTTCAAACAAAACAAAATGGTAAGCTATTTACTTGCTTTCTGAAAGTACAAATGATAGTACGTGAAGACAACAGTATTTTAAAATACCTCACGCATCCCTGTAACTGCTAATGGAACTGCATTAGATACTGAATAAAAGCTAATTTAACTCAAGCATCAGCCATACTTATCTTCTGTAATTCAACACTATTTTACTGCCCACTGCAGACAAACTAAGTTTTCCTGTATGTATTCAGATCAGAGACATAATGATACAAAATAACTACACTTAGTGGCAAATTATTTTTCTACTGCTTTATTTTGCAGTCTTATGTTTCTCATTTTCTTCACTCATATTCTGTTTCCAGTCTCATAATAGTTTGAGAAAAAGCCATATCCCAAAAGCAAATATTTAACCTTATTAGCTTCAGGCAAAAGTTGTCTGCGCATACAATGGTCCTTCTGAGCAGCTATTTTACTGTGGCTTGCAGTTGTGCCTGGTTTTCTGTTTTCAGTGTTCACAAACTAATTATTTAAGAGGAAATTAAACTTCTGCTGGCATCTATGTGGATTCAAATGAAGGGAGAAAAAGGGCAGGGGTGAGGCATGCGAATAGTTCCTAAACCTCCTTCCCTCTTGCTTATTTTATTAAAATAAAAAGTAAAAAAAAAGGTGCCTGCTTTACTTACTTTCAGTTAAATCACAAGCATTTCAAGACCAACATTTTTTCCAATCTATGGTTAACAACATACCTAACTTATTTTACTAACACATGCAAAACTGAAAATGCTGCAACATGAAAGAGTTCATTTCTGGTCTAAAGTGCTAAGACTTTATACTACTAAGATATGAGTAAGTACACGGTTGTGAGTAGGTATGTGTGATGTAGGATGAAAGAAAGGGGACAGAAAGGGCAAGAGAGAGAATAAACACACACACACACACACACTATAATCCTAAAGCAGCACAGCCTCCTTAAAAAAGGGAATGTTTCAACATCCTTCAACAATACCCTTCAAAAAGATTTTTTTTTAAAAGGGTTAAAACAACCAAGGGAGGTGAAAGGAAGCACAAAAAGTCTCCCTTCAGACACATTTTCAGTTACTAATTTTCAAGACAAAGGCTTGAAATCAGAGAAATTTAAGCCATTGGAGCTAATCTACCAGTATTTGTATTAAGGCAGTGCCTTATTATCCCTCTATTTCCCAAGCAAGCTCCATGGCTCACAGCACCTGTCACCCAGATAGCCAGCAGTTAGGCTCCAGGTCTCCCTCCAGAGTTGTCCTTGTCTCTCTGGAGCAGGAACAGTGTGTGGACACATGAGATAATTTGAACAAAAATGTAAACTGGAAAATGTATGTAACATGATTTAGTGGTCAATAACAACAGTAAGGTAGATGGAAGAGAGCTACATAAAATAACAGAAAAAAATTGTCACAAGGTCACTGAAGTAACTGCTGGAAAACTGCTGATCCCTGTTTAAATGGCCAAGAGGATGATTTATAGAGCATAACAGAACCTACAAATCCAGCTGCAGCGATGCATTTATCTTGCCTTTTTCCATTTTTATGTATGACACACACTACCATCTGCTGGACAAAAAGCCAAACTAATCCAATAACATACAAGGGATTTTTTGTCATGAGAACCCCTTTACCATCATGTTTACCTGAGGCAGATGCAAAACAACCTGGGATGTGTGGAGACCATATAGTGCTGTAAATGACACCTTCGTGGCCTTTAAAAGTGCGTAATGACTTCCCCACAGCTGGATCCCACTGAATAAAGTAAAAGGAAAACTGTTGAGGTACACATTCAACAAAGAAAGGAAAAGGTTTCATATATAAAAACTTTATACAGAACAGACTAAATGAACTTTTTACTATGTATCATCAAAAGCATTCATATATTTAAACTGGTATCAACTGAGGGATAAAGCAACATCTCAGTTAAACCAGAATTTCAGCCACAGCATAAAAATAAAGTGAATCAATGCTGTTTCTTAACAGAAAGAACTCTCCAAACAATACAAAATCACATTTTTCACCTCAACATACCAGCTTTGCTGTTTGATCCCATGAACCAGACACCACTAGCTGTTCTCCTCTAGTTTGGCTCCAGTCAACACTATATGCCTACAAATGATACAACAGTCTAGTTTAGAAAGAGCATTAGAATACAAGTTTGAGACCCTAGTCAGCCAAAATTTCACAAAACAGACTTGGATTTGCAGATTGTATCATAACCAGCTAAGGAAACCACACCAGATAAGTACCACAAAGCTTCCGACAATGCCATTTACTTGAAAAAAAATTTTAATTTAACATCACAGTCTGGCATTAAGATTCATATAGGCTCAGAAAAGTACCCAAGAAGGTAAAGATGGGCCAAAATGGAGAGGGGGGAGAGAAATGTAATAAAATCCACAGAACCACCACCACTAGAAGTTTCTATCACTCTAGAAAGCCGTAATTCAGACTGATTTCTTATATATGATCCAATTTATTCAAATATCTGGAGTTTTTAATTGCTAGCAGTGAAAACCTATCTCTCTTCAGAGCAGACTATGGAGTTGACTTTGAGGTTTTAGCTAACAAGAAATGGTTTACGATAGCTAATTCTCCTAAGATGTACATGTCATAAAATACTCCTGAGTTTCATCTTCTCCAGGTTCTACCATTCATCTCTTCAAACAAATAAAATTAAAAAATTTAACTTCCCTCATGACTAACCATTTCAGGTATTTAAAAACTGCTTTTCACTGTGTAGTTGAAATAAGCTCCCTCTTCTCTGACAGTTTATTCTAATGCTGGTCCCCACCTTGACAAAGGATCTCTCCTTAACTCCACCCTTCACTGCTGATTTTTCAGCTCTGCTGCCTCAACAAAAACAAATGCTCTAAGGTAGTTCTTAAAATTACTTCAAATGTGAAAGTCTCAAGAACATGTACAACTTCCACCATCAAATGCACCATATCTACATAATGGAAGGTGCATTCTATTCTGCTTATTTTCACTCCACACCAAAATAATCTCAATAAGCTGCAGTGGGACATGAAGCATTTCAGTGCTAAGGTGGATAAATATCATTTGAAATAGTTTATTTGCTTCACCTCCTCACCCAAACAGACCCTCCACGACACTTATCAGAATGCAGCCACTGTCTACTAGTAGTAAGTGGCACTGCTCTCAACAGTCAGGCCAGTAACCACTGTGGGCTTGTACTCCAGCTGGGACAATCTAGTTCTAACACAGCATTAGAAGTAACTTGCAAGTCAACATACTAGATGCTGTGTTTGTCTTGGATAAACGGAATTGTGCATTAAATGACAACCCTGTTTTGAATGTGAAAATGTTTGGAACTGTATCACCACACAAGAAAAAAAGCAGAGAAGCTGTACTGGAAAAAAATCCAGCAAGAGACAAAGTCTTCTATGGGAAGTGTCCTGTATGAGAAAGGAAATCGAGGAATCATTTAGCTACTTCTGAGCATTTTCCTTCCTAAGAAATATTTCAATCCATGTTAGATCCAGCTTAATCTAACTGTTTTTCATCTATTTGCTTATTTCCCACAAGTGGAAGACAACCACAAATTGGATTATCTACAAATTTTTTATTTTACGATGTCCCACTTCCCGTATATTGAAAGGCATATTGCTCTGGCACCAATTTGTGCTAGCTCCCTTCCTTGGGGACCTTATAGTCCAAATGTACAAAGACACTTAGACAGTACCTTCACAAAACCCAAATAACAAACTAAGAGGTAATTCTTTCATTTGTTTTTCCAAACTATGCCTTTACCTCTTGGCTTTTCTACTTTTATTAGCTAACTACCAGTACCAAAGCTCACTAAAACACGCTCCCTTTCAACCCGACTCCTCCTATTAAATTAGTAACAAAGGAGACACACAAGTACCTGTTCACATTTTAAGAATGGAAGGCATCATTTTGGTTCTCCAAAGTGGCACCCAAGTTCCTCAGAACATTAGCCTTTCTCCTTCCCCCTGAATCTGTCTTCACCTCTATGAAGCTGCCTAATGCTACACACAATGCCTAATGCTTCTTTCATGTGATACCTAGTTCTCATATGCCTCAAAAGCCCTATGAAGTCAGCTCAGTTGAAGTGTTTGTCTCTTTTATTCGTGTCCAGGATTTCCCAGAAAGAAATATGTTTAAGAAATATACACCCATGCCAGACAATTTACCTAGCCTCACATATTTGGGATGTATCAGACCTACTGCACAGACAAGGCATAGCATACATATGGCTTACAGCTCACTCACAAGCTATCAGCACACAGATCTGTTGAACATGTGTTGTGACATGGATCTGCATACATATGGCATATGATTAGGACCGTCCAGCACTCTGCAGCTGCATCAGAGGCAATGGGACCTGGGCAGATTTTCCTTCAGGCAAGAGTTACAAACAGAACAGACAACAGGCTAAGAAAAAGCTAGAGCTGTTTTCCATTTGGCATGTGACAGGTCTGGCTAATGGGAAGAGAACGAAAAAGAGAAGGTGTGGAGAACCAAGTGAGACTTTTAAACTTCTTTGCTTTTCATGCTATCATCCAGTATTTACAGATGCTTCAATAGAAGCTGTGTTGAGCAATTGGAAAAGGCTAGTACGACAGAATAAACCCTCCCTGTTAATCTCATAGTGCTTCATCTTCAATCATAAAATACATTAATACTAGTATAACCTAAAAAGAAGCAAGAAATGCTTCAGACAATATGAAAAGATGATGAAAAAATATAGAATCATAAAATAATAGTTCAGAAATAAATGCTTGGGCTTACTTTACAAGACAAATTTAATTCAAGCATTCTTTTGTCTCACATTCCAGTGAGACTTCATCAAAATGAAAGTAAATTAGACTAATTTATTCATGAGATTCAGCAGTTGGTTAGTGCTGGCATAAAACTCATTGTCTTTTGATAATAAAGATGTGCTTTTAAATTAAAAATGCATATTCTTTTTCAGTACAATGATCTCATTTACAAAACAAGAAACAGATCCCTGTCAATCTTGCATTAGAAAAATTATAAGGCGCAGCGACAAAATTGTCATTAAAAATGTCAGACAGGGATTAAGGATTAGGAAAGTAGTCAATCATTCTAAAGAGCACTGTCTGCCAGTGTTTACCACAATCTATTAGGTATATTCCCTCTGGGATCTATCCTCTTAATGCATGTTTATAAAGAGTCAATACAAACCTTTTGTATCTCACAATAAACACTCAAGCCCATGCTCCTATACTGTCTTCCTAACTCATGGTTGAATGCATCCACCTCCCCATGCTACCTGCTAAACTAAGACTTGGACACAGAAACGTTTATTTAACAAACAACAGATGGTGTAGCAGAACCAAAATAAACTTATGGACAGACTTTCAAAAGACAAAAAAAAACCCAAACCAATTTGTTATTATGCTTTGCCTACGTCTTTCTGTTACTCCCATCAGCTTTTGAACCCTATCATAAAATCCTGATCACAGTTACAGACTCATGTCTCAAAATTCTTTATTTACACAGTATATGCATTAAACTAAAGTAGCAAAATAATAAAGAATGAAGGTACAGAAGACAGACTGTCTTTGGGAATACAAAACTGGATTTCCTCCATCATTTTTTATTGATCACACATCCACTTGACAATTTTATTCAGATTTACACCATTTAGATAGAGCATCAGTAATCCAGGCTAAAACTGATTGCATCTAAAGTTCAAAGACCTGACAGAAGCAAGAGAAGAGTTTGAAGGAAAGCATGAAAAGAAAAAAAATTAGAATAATCACTTGGGACTAGATAAATACACTAACGCATAAAATATGCAAATACAATTATGAACATGAACATAAGTGAATTATGAACACTTTACCTATATTGCACTGCATAAAGAAACTGAGATATTTAAGAAAATCAAATACAACTGTATCAAACCAAGGCTAAAAAAACCTCATGCTGTCCCAGTATTTGACTACTTTTACTTGAGTAGGATCTCACGGGTGCTAGAATGGAAAAGGATAACTAGTTCCCAGATACAACAGAAGTCTTAAGGATCTCTATAATGCTATCACTTTATATCCTCAAGGATAATACTGCTATATGGGGGGTTGGAACTAGATGATTTTAAGGTCCTTTCCAACCCTAACCATTCTACAATTCTGTATACATCAGCTGTCCGATTTAGACCTATCCAATAATGCTCTCTAAATATCACAGAATGACTGCGGTACTTTCATACAACACAATGATTAGTTAGCCTGTAAGAAACCACAAACACTATTTCTGAATATATTAGATTCATGTAATTAAGTGGTACCTACTACAGAGTACGAATGTATATACAAATATGTACAATAGATAATTTATATTCAAGATTATATTAAGTTATAAATTCAAACCATGGACCCAAAGTTAAATAATAGACAACAAAACCCACTTTTGATTGTAAGTCCACAAATAAATCTTTTAATAATTCAAACATTAGATGGTCCATTAAATTTTTCAAGTTTGCCTGGTTTACCTCCTGAGTGTGCTCTTTATAGACTTGCAGGGGACCTTTGGTTTTAGCTGTATCCCAGATTTGCAGAGATCCATCTCCACTAGAAGTGATCAACACATGTTCATTATTCTCACTCCAGGTCACATCAAACAGGCCATCATTCCAGTCAAAACTAAATTGGAACAATGAAGATATTTTTCCATGAGAAAGCATGACATTAAAGTCTAGACTAGTTACATGCAAAGACAGTATCTCTTTAAATCACCCTCTTTACCATTCAAAACAGCATTATTATATATTTCAGTTTCCAGTAAATCTCCTTACAAGTAACTTACTTGTCGTAACATCAACTTATACAACTGCATCCCAGAATAGGGTGACTAAGTTAAAGCATAAATTAGCCAAGAATCTTCCACAGAAAATTAAACCTGATTTAAGTCTGAAATTTGCCAAGCAAAGACAGAGGTCCCACATGTCTCAGTCTGATCTACGGTTTCTCCAGGGTGTTGCTACAGAGGTAGGAGCCCTTTGTCTGTAACAACTGTGGTAAACGAAGAAATAAAACGGTGTTGGGAGAGCCCTATCCAATTCACAACACCATTAGGAAGCTGAGTCACAACTAAAAACCAACAGGAAGACTGTCATGAACATATTAAAGATCTCTACATTCCCTTAAGAGCGCTTTCAACATGCCAACAACTTATCATATGTGATCTGATACCACATATTAGTTGCCCTGCAACAACTATCACGGACCCTGCTGTTATCTGATGGTAAATATGAATTTATTTACCCCCTTTTCACTGAAGGTTCAGCTAAGCTCAGGTTAAACTTCATGGCACCCTGCAGTAATGATGAGGCATGCACACAGAAAGTTTCAATACAGAAAATGACCCAGCTTATGGCTCAGGAAGTTATAGAACTTTCTACCACAAAATAAGTGGAGTCACTGGAAATATAGAAATGAACAGTACTAAACCAGTGCACTTAGCATAACTAACAGTGTTAAACAGCTTCAATGAGTGTTGCTTTATAATTACGAATTAAAAACAGCTTCTCAGAATACGATCAACTACTTGTTAAGCATTTCTATTTCAGCCCTCTTAATCTAAACAATTGCTGTTTCAAAACTTTATTTAGAAAAACTTTAGGTCAATGGCAGTCAAGTGTTAAACCCTAACCTCTCTCTTCCTCCCATCCAAAATCCAAATCAAACTCCTCTCAAACCCTTAAAATATTGGATCTTCTAGGAAGGACCTCCATGACTTTACAGACCTTCCTGCTGTATTTCTAGTATTAGTCAATCATAAGGGCACAAATTTAGATGGCAATGTGCTGTTCCTAAAAGGCTAATACTTTTCATTTCAAGGTAGAGCAGAAAGGCTCTTTTTAATTTACATTGACAGTTTTCTGTAAAATGCTTTACAGTACGGAAAGTGTGCAATCCGTATTACTTCCCATAACTATGAACTATTACTATTTATAACTATATGTTTACTTCACAGATCTATGAAATGTAAACCTCTCATTTGAATGTAAATACAACCATCTGTATGTAAATACAAAGACATGTATTCAGTAGATACTGTAGCATGGATACAATATTTTTTATCACTGACAATAACCCAAAATATTTGGGTTGCATCTTATACTCACAGGTACATAATAAGATTTTCTCTTGCAAAAACAAAAACATAAAACTTATGTTACCTTCTAAGCAGAGCAATGCCAGCATCATTTTGTTCCAGCACTGCCAGAGTCCCACAACCTAAACCAGCAAAATAAAACAAAGTATCACAATTAGTTCACTCATGCCAAAGGAAACTACTGTATTTCTGAGGTAGCTCCAGAGAGCATCTGAACTTTTAAACAATTAGTTTTGTTTAGAGGCCAAACAATTAGTTGCATAAAAATAAACATCCTGCTGTCTCATGTTCTCTAAACAGTAATTCATTTACATCAGATTGGCTTTTGGTTTTGGTTGGTTTGTTTTGTCCACTCCAGTATACCTGCAGATAAGGTTGGAAAAGAAACAGCTCGTTTACAAAGCACCCAAGTGCACTTCCCTTACGAGCCTCACATTACAGTTATACCAGCACGGAGTTCCTTTTTATCTTTTTTTGGTAACAGAGCAGACATTAAAACTCTTTTTTTCTGCTGAATCTAATAATACAAACATGTCTCACCAGAACTGAAACAAACAGTTCTGAGAAAACACACATGGGTACTGCTTTCTCATGTGACTGGGATATCGTCAAAGTCATTCCACATTTAGAAACTTATTTAAAATTAATGCTTTCAGCAGCAATACTCCCACTGGAAATTAAAAAAATTCACTGCTGAGAAAAGCTCTGCTTGCCTTTTCAATGGGACCACAGAGTCAGAGAACGGTTTGGTTTGGAAGAAACCTTCAAGATCACCTAGTTCCAACCCCCCTGCCAAGGGCAGGGACGCCTCACACTAGGCCATGTCGCCCAAAGCTCGGTCCAGCCCGGCCCTGAACACTGCCAGGAACCGGGCATCGCCAGGATGTGTCCGGACACCCAGTGACTGAGAATAGAAGAGTTAAAATTTTAAGGATAAACTATTTTCACGGCATTTCAGTCACGCTGTGTATGTCTCTGCCACTGTATTTATTCTCGACCCTATTAAATTAGCACTCCCCTGCGACGGTTTTGTGAGACCACCATCAAACCAGCGGGTCCGCGCTTCGCTCAGCCT